TCAAAGGCCATTGGGCCCATGTTTGTCGCACAGCCAGTCACTTGGCTGAACTGTATCGGGCCTCAAAAGAAAGACAGGGAAGAATTGCCCCCGAAACAAATCACGCTGCCCATGATGACACATTTGACGATGTGATGAATGAAAATATCACGCACCTGGATGCCGATGATCTGCTTGATATAGCTGATGATGTTAAATGATAAAATGATGTTGTATCTCTTTTGTTAATTTGATGTTTTCTGCCCCCTTTTTGTATTACCCCCTATAATATAAGTCTATTTTGATTATGTTACTAATACATGTCTTTTATTATTTTTACCTTCTTGCAAAGATATGGATGCCAAATATTTTGGAGCCGATGACAACATCTTCCTTATCGACAGTGCTACGACTCACAACATTCTGAAAAACAAAAGTTATTTCTCCTATCTTAATATGGGAAAGACCACAATTGTTACTATCAGTGGTGCATCGAAAATGATTGAAGGCTCGGGAAAAGCTATTGTATATCTCCCAAAAGGGACAAAAATGGCAATTGAAAATGCCTTGTTCTCGAGCAGAGCTCGAAGGAATTTACTGAACTTCAGTGATATTCGGAAAAATGGGTATCACATTGAAACATTGAATGAGGCAGAAAATGAGTATCTCTTGATAACTCAGGTTGTGAATGGCAAAAGAATTGTGAAAGAAAAATTGCCATCATTTTCTTCCGGCTTATATTATTAAAAAATCAGTGCCATTGAAACGTATCACCTAGTAGACCAAATGGCTACTAGCGAATTTAAAACTTGGCACGATCAACTTCGGCATCCTGGCAATGTAATGCTGAGGCGAATTGTTGAAAATTCAAATGGCCACTCATTGAAAAAGAAAAATATTTTGAGTCCGAATGAATTTGTTTGTGTTGCCTGTTCCCAAGGGAAATTAATAATCAGGCCATCTCCAACAAAGGTTGGATTTGAATCCCCAGCTTTCCTGGAAAGAATTCAGGGTGATACTTGTGGACCAATAGATCCACCATGTGGACCCTTCAAGTACTTTATGGTACTAATTGACGCGTCAACGTGATGGTCACACGTATGTCTGTTATCTACTCGCAATCTAGCTTTTGCTAAACTACTTGCACAAATAATTAAATTGCGAGCACAATTTCTAAATCAACCGATAAAGAAAATACGTCTAGATAATGTTGGAGAGTATTCATCACATACATTTGATGATTACTGCATGTCAATTGGGATTACTGTGGAACACCCTATTCCCCATGTACATACGCAAAATGGCCTGGCTGAATCCCTTATCAAAAGATTGCAATTAATTGCTAGACCATTGTTAATGAGGTCTAAACTCCCAGTATCATGTTGGGGACATGCTATATTGCATGCAGCAGCCCTCGTGAAAATAAGGCCGACAAGTTATCACTGTTATTCCCCTACTCAATTGGTTATTGGAAAAATACCAAATATATCTCACCTGCGAATATTTGGGTGTACTATTTATGTTCCAATTACGCCACCTCAACGCACGAAAATGGGACCTCAAAGAAGGTTGGGTATATATGTCGGGTATGAATCAACCTCGATTGCGAAATATCTTGAACCAACAACGGGTGACTTATTTATTGCAAGGTTTGCAGACTGTCATTTTGACGAATCACATTTCCCGACATTAGGGGGAGACAGTAATCAACTGAAAAAAGAAATTTTGTGGAAAATACCACTTGAATTTGATCATCGTACGAAATATAGTGAACTTGAAGTTCAAAGAATTGTGCATTTGCAGAAAATTGCAAATCAATTGCCTGATGTTTTTAATGATGCTGCCAGAGTTACGAAATCATATATTGCAGCAACAAATGCACCAGCCAAAATAAATATCCCAGAAAGGAAAGTGCCGAGTGCTAATGAGCATACTGCCCGCGTAAAACGTGGCAGACCGTTGGGTTCCAAGGATAAGAATCCACAAAAGAATAAAATTGTAAATACTGGTGAAAAGATCAACAATGATCAGATACCTGAAAATGTCAGTACAACCCCTGAAGAGGTTGATACTAAAAATTCTGATGAAAGTGATGACGAAGTTATTGAAACTTCTGTTAACTATACCACCAGTGGAAAATATTGGAACAGAAAGAAAACAAATATTGATAATGCATTTGCATATTATGTAGCACTCGATATAATTAAAGATGACGAGAATTATGAACCAAAAGCAGTTGATAAATGTCGGCAAAAAGATGATTGGGTAAAATGGAAAGACGCAATTAAATCTGAATTGGGCTCATTGAAAAAACGGCAAGTATTCGGCTCTATAGTCCAAACACCGGAAAATGTGAAACCTGTTGGTTACAGATGGGTGTTTGTGAGAAAAAGAAATGAAAATAATGATATCACAAGATATAAAGCAAGGATTGTAGCCCAGGGTTTTTCCCAGAGACTGGGTATTGATTTTGAAGAAACATATTCGCCGGTCATGGACGGGATAACATTCAAGTATCTGGTGAGCCTAGCAGTACACAATAATCTTGATATGCGATTAATGGATGTGGTTACTGCATATTTTTATGGCTCTTTAGACAATGACGTCTATATGAAAATCCCAGAAGGGATCAACATTCCTGAATCATTTAAATCAAAGCCAAAAGAATCATATTCCATCAAATTGCAAAAATCTTTGTATGGGCTCAAGCAATCAGGCCGAATGTGGTACAATCGTCTCAGCGAAAGCTTAATCAAATAAGGTTATATAAATGACCCTATCTGTCCATGTGTTTTTATAAAGAAAAATGGGTCTGAATTTGTAATCATCGTTGTATATGTCGATGATCTCAATTTGATTGGAACTCCTGATGAAATCCAGAAAGCTGTTGAATATCTGAAAAAGGAGTTTGAGATCAAAGATTTTGGAAAAACTAAGTTTTGCCTTGGTCTGCAAATTGAGCATTTGGAAAGTGAAATCTTTATCCACCAATCAAATTATACCAAAAGGGTACTAAAACAGTTCCTGATGGATAAATCACATCCGCTAAGTACTCCAATGATCGTCAGAGCACTCGATCCAGCAAATGATCCATTTAGACCAAAAGAGGAAAATGAAGAAACACTTGGCCCAAAAGTGCCATATATGAGTGCTATAGGCGCATTAATGTATCTTGCTAACAGCACCCGACCTGATATATCATTTGCTGTAAATTTATTGGCAAGATTCAGTTCATCGCCTACTCGACGACATTGGAACGGGATTAAGCACATTTTTCGCTATCTCCAAGGAACAATTGATTTCGGGTTATCTTACTCGAAAGATTCTCGACATGAATTAATTGGATTTGCCGATGCAGGATATTTATCGGATCCTCATAAAGCCAAGTCACAAACTGGCTATATATTTACTTGTGGCGAAACAGTGATCTCTTGGAGATCAATGAAACAAACTTTAACTGCCACTTCTTCAAATCATGTTGAAATATTGGCAATACATGAAGCTAGTCGAGAATGTGTTTGGTTGAGGTCAATGACTCAACATATTCTGAAAAATTGCGGGTTAATACCTAACGATAAAATTTCCCCAACTACATTGTATGAAAATAATACGGCTTGTATAGCCCAATTGAAAGTGGATTACATTAAAGGATATAGAACGAAACATATTTCACCAAAATTCTTTTTTACTCTTGATCTACAACAAAATGGTGAAATCAATGTGCAACAAATTCGATCAGATAATAATTTGGCGGATATATTAACCAAGGCATTGCCGACGGTAACATTTGAAAAACTGGTGAAGAAGATTGGGATGTCCCGGTTAAGGGATCTCAAATAATGCTCAGATCAGGGGGAGCGAATCGATATGAGAATGTTGTACTCTTTTTCCTTCACTAGGATTTTTTTTGTCCCACAGAGTTTTTTCCTAGTAAGGTTTTAACGAGGCACATTCTTCGTACAAAAGCATCAAAGGGGGAGTGTTGTGAAGTGTACACGACGATGTCGACACGGAGGATACGTGGATGCTTTTATTAACAACCAAACTTTTACCTGTACATGTATATAAATGGAATGGAATGAAAGGATCATTCATGCACAAACACAATACAATTCTCAATCTCTCTCTGCCTCTTCATTCATATTAATACTATCCTACTTAATAATATAATATAATATATAAAGGTACATATTATATATATATACACTCACGCATCATACATATATATATTTACTTATATATTATATACAATATATAAAATAGTGGTTAACGGTAAAGATAATTAATATTTCTATTCGCTCATCCTATAATAATATTACAACAATTTTAGCTTATTACAAAATGCAATTCTCATTCAAAACATTTTTTACAAAAACTAGACTCTAAACCCTAACCCAACCAAAAACTATAACCCAACTTAAACAAATAAACAACTCCTGCAATCATCACTAAAATAAGTATTATGTTTTATAGTTTATATATATAAATAAATATATGTATATTGTTATTGAGAACACTATATTTGTATAATACAAAATTTCCAAAAATAAAAAATAAAAGAACTATTTACCATTCTATTTCTTTGGCATGCTTATTGAAAACTTAGCAAAGTTATTTTTTGGATGTATTGGCTCAGTGATTTATTTTAAATGTTAATTTTAATTTTTTATTTGAATAATATAGTTTAAATATAATATACTTGTGAAAGGATATAATTGATATTAAAGATTGCATTAAGAACATTAAAAACACTAATAACATGAACAAAACATCAATTAAAGATTGCATTAAGAACATTAAAAACACTAATAACATGAACAAAACATTGATGTTCTTATAATCTTATTGCAAGAGGGATTGATCTAAAAAGTACTCCCTTGTTTAATTTCTATTATCCTAAATATATTTGTACAATTTTTTTAGGTGATTGTCTTTCTATTATGAATTGACAAATTTGATAGAGATTAAAAGTAATAAATGAATGAAGGGTAAAAATATAAAATTTGTGTTTAAAAAAAATAGGACAATAGTTATTGAATATCCCAAATGAAAAAGTAGGACATTAGTTTATGAACGGATGAAATAATATTTTGCAAGAGTGATGGTTTTCTTATAAAAAAATGGGTAAGAAAAAGATAAAATCTAATTTAATGAAAATAAAAAGTAATGTGTTGTGCACAAATTAAAGCGCCGCTACATGGGCTTTCCAGAATGCTCCCACCACTTGTCCTAAATTTTTGTCCTTTATAATGTAAATTCAATTACTCTTTTTATTATCTATTTGTTTAATAGTTTCTATTTAAAATCTAGCGTCTTCGAAGCCGTGTAAGTCGCTGACTCTATTCAATGACTTCCTCATGATGGCTACTTTTGCCAGCCGCTCAGCCGCCCTCCAAGCCGACGTCGGCGTAAGCGGCTCGGGCTTGTCCTCCACGCTTCCGGCTTCGCTACCAGAGTTGCTCCTTCCTACCAGCTGCCCTTGTTCCGTCCAGCTCAGCTCAGCCAGCTCCGCATCAAGCCGCCGGACAAACTGCACGACGGAATCCGGATCCGAACTCGAACCCGATTTTAGAACCAAAGCCCGACCCGAAACCAACATACGCTTCGCCCCTACGACGTCGTTTCGTTGGACTAATCTTTTACTCTCGGCGACGGCGCGTGTCGTAATGAATAAGCATTTGAGGTGCGTCGATGACCCGCCGGCGCGTGGCGGAGGCACGGGAAGCGCCACCTGGTCATCGTGCCGTACAGACTGTAGCGTTAACGGATCTTTGTACGAGCATTGTATGAACAGCACGCGCCGCTGCTCCCGCCGCCGTGACGGACCGGATTTCAATTCTATAAGAAATTCTCGCTCCTCGCCGGACCGGAAACCGCCGGTTCGAAACCAGCCGGAACCGCCGCCGGCGAGTAATGCAGGTTTAATTTCGTGAGAGTAGACGGCGGCGACACCCGCCGGAGCAGAGGAGGCACGGAATTCTAGCTTAACGTTCAGATCCTGTACGGCTACGCTCAATAAACCGCTAATGCATTTCGCGAAGGTGTTTCCGTCGGCCGCGTCGACGGCGGCGGTTAGGTTGACGGAGTGGAGGGGAATACCTGTAAAGGTTGTGGAGGACACGACGGCGGCGTTGCGGTGGCCGTCGGAGAGGAGGACGATGCCGGCGGTCGGATTCTTCTCACGGCGGTCGGAGATTACCTTGGCTGCCTTTTTGAGTGCGTCGGTGGCGCAGGTTGCGGCGGTGTCTAATGCGACGACGGCGTCGATTATCCGACGCGCCGATCTCTTTCCTGCTGTGTTCATCCGCCGGAGCGGAAGCAACCGCTTCGAAGCGGCGGCGGAGAATGCGACGATGGAGAGGCGGTCGGATTCGGAGAGAGACGAGAGCATCAGCCTCATTGATTTCTTCAATAGATGGAGCTTTTCAAATGTGATGCTCCGGCCGACGTTGAGCACCATAACCAGATCGATCGGAGCTCTCCGCGCAGGCACCGCCGGAGCTCTGATTTTCAGTACAACTGCGCAGGTTTCGCTGCTCTTAGTCACTGAAATCGACGCCGCCTCCGGTGATAGAGAGATCTCGAAGCTTCTAGAACTCTCTGCTAGAAAATTAGGAAAATCATCCGTTTCTTCTTCGTCTATCTCATCCGATTCGATTATTGGATTGAATCGAACGCCGAAGGCTGGGAAAGAAAGCGGTTCATCGTCATTGTAGACTTTCAACAAACATCTCGAGCTGTTCTTCGGATTGGAATCTCTCGCAACAGCTTCGCTTCTATTTCTAGTTCTAATTCGTCCTTGGTAGGGTTCATCGGACGGCAGAAGAGGAGGTTCCTTCCATGTGGAGTTGCAAATGAGGCACGTTAGGGCTCCATGCTTGTTCACCGCCGCCGACATGCACGGAAAGTGGAAAGTATGGCCGCACTCCGCCGTGAACATCGCCGTTCCTTGTTCTGAGTTCATCTTCTGTAAGCAAATTCCGCATCTACTCTGTAAATATCCAGAATCAAAATTCAGAATACTATATTCATGAAAAAATTAACACCAAAAGCATCAATATATTATAGCAACGAACACCGTACCTTTGGTGCGCGATTGATACTCAATTTGAGCAAGTTAAACGCAGATGGCGATCGAGGCGAAGAAGGTGTGCTCTGACTCTGAGTGAATAAATCCGAACTCTCTCGGGTTCTGCAACGAAGCTTCGGACTCTGAGGCGCAGAACTGCTAGGAACCGACACATTCACCGCCGGCTTCGACTTCATCCGCGGCGTCGATGGATTTGAGAAAATTCCACCAAACCTAGAGCCAAGCCTAGGGCTCGGATCAGGCTCCAACTTCTCCTTAATAATCGGTGAGCCTCTCGTATCATCCTCCTTTGAAATTGACTTGCAAAATGCTCTCCGCCATTTTAAAACCATCGTTGTCTGCTCTCACTAACTCCCTGCCTCCCTTATACTATTATATCCTCCGATCTCTGCTCTAAATCATCCTCTCTGCTCTCAAATGCCTGCTTCCATCACAGATCAACAATCAAATATTCAAATCGATTGGAAATGGATGAATCACCACGAGCACATCAACCACACAAAAAATCGTTACCTGTGAAAGCGTAGTCGCTGTCACTTTCTTCCTACGTTGCTCTCCTTCTCCTTCTCCTCCTCTGCCATGCTTATCTGTAAATTTATTTATAAATGAGAAATGGTGGTTGATTTTTGCCTGCGGTGAATTTATAGTAAATTTTAGTAATACTGTATTTAAAAATCGGGGGGAGTTGGAGTTGGAGTTGGAGTTGGTAATTGGTACGTGGGGAAAGTACAAGGCCGGTGGTGGTGTGGTTTTCATTATTGGGATCGACATTCAACAATAGCAAGTCAACTTATTCTTACCATAATAATAAAATATAATGATTATCACTCCAAAACTAAATACGGTCTCCTTTCTATTCAAAGGCCTATCTTTATTTTTCACATAAATTTTTTAATAAAAAAAATAAAATTATCCGTATTTATGTCCACTTGCAATATTTACATATATTTTTGATATTTTAATTATACTGAGTAATTAAAAGTAGTATAATGATATTTTTACCCTTACTTTTTTTTGTGTAAAAGTAACGATGTAATATAAAGTAAGGGTATTTGTGAAAAAAAAATAATGTATTTAATGAAACTTAAACTTTGTACTTGGACATCCCAAAATAGAAATATGTAAACATGGTAAGTGGACGAATGGAGTATAAAAGTAATAATATTTGTATAATATATTATAAATTAAAAAAGTATTTATTATATTAAGTATGCAGTACAATTATTAAATAAAAAAAAATTTATTTTATGACAGAAAAAAAATCGAAAATGATAACATTTCAATTAAACAGATAGAATACTTTATGCGTTATATATTAATTATGTGTTTATTTAATCAGACATAATTTTTTTAAAAAAAAATAAAAATAAAAAATTTTATTTTAAAGTTAAATAAAAAAAGAAAAAAGATGTGATATTTATTATTAAAAAAGAAAATTATAATAAAATAAAAGAAAGTGAATAATTTGGATTAGAATATTTATTTTTAGAACAAATACTTGCTCCAAATATAGAAGTTATTATTGTTTGGATGTTTTTTTCTTTTTTCCGTAAAGTTAAATTTGTAATTTTATAGATATTTACTATTTAAGAATTATTATGGCTTATATGATAATATTTGTGTTGTTTATCTTGAAATAATTCTTAATGAGATATTAAACAGGTGTAAATTAGGTATTGTTTGTTTGTATATATATTTCTGTTTGGATATTAACATTATGTTGTTTACATATTCTAAATTATTTTACTAAAATATATTGAATAGATGGTAATAATATATTTTCTGTAGTTATATATATTTTAAATTAAATATTAATGCTTATTGTTTATATATATATATATATATATAAATATAAAACTTTAATGGTTTGTTTGGTGCGAAAAATAGTTTGAAAAGATAAAGTATAAAAAAAATGTGTAAATAATATAAAAATTATAAGAGTGATATTAATTTTTTTAAAAGAAATGTATTTTTGAAAATATAATTTTTACAAAAAAATTAAAAAAAACACACTATAAATTTTCTAATATATTTAAAAGTATTTAGTAAAATGTATTGAATGAATGTTAACAGTAGTATTAAACATGAACAATATCTATTATTATATATATTTTCTTAATTTATAATAAAATTACATCAAATTTTGAATATTAACTTTTAATTTTGTTGCATTAAAATTCATCTTTTCTAGCTTATTCAAAAAAATATCTAAAGTTAATTAATCTTGCGAGCAACAATTGAAGAGGCTTAACATCCAAATTCTTACATCGATAAGATAAAGGCTACACTTCAATATAGTGTCAACTAAAATTGTATTTCATCCGTTCCAACTCAAAGTACTATTTTTACAATTTTCATCTGTCCTATTTACAAGTATCATATTTTTTTATTTAAATAAAAGTAATCATAAACTAATATCAAAGTATCATTGACTTTTGCTTAAATTATAAACATACTATTACATATACAATTATTTTATACATAAAATTAAAAGGAAAGAATATTAAAATATTATACACACTTTCACTAATCAATAAGATACTACTCCTTCCATCCTAAAAATAGTGCAACATTTGTTTACGGTACGAAAATTTAGGTAGGTAGTATTGAATATGATAATTTGATAATTATGTGGTATGGTGAAAGAGAAAAATGTATATTTATTTAAGTGATGTGATGGGATAAAATGTGGAGTAGAGATTAAGTATATTTATTTATTTTCTATTTTAGAAATATTATATGATGTTTGAAATATACCAAAAAATAAATGTTACAAAATATTTTGAACGGAAAAAACAAAATATTTTGAACGGAAAAAATTATTATTTTTCAATCTATTACAAAACCTCAAAAGTACTTTCATTCAAGACAAGGGGGAGTATAAACTAAACTGAAATGTTTGAAGTTGAACTAGAAAGGAAAAAACAAAAAACCACCAAGGAAATTACGAATAATCATCAAATTCTTTAGTCTTGAAAATTTGTTTTTTTATCAATTTTTTTTTTTCACTTATTTGTCCTTTTTTTTGTGTTTGTTTATAGAAGTTTTTTTATACTCATTTATTTAATCATGACTCGAGTTTGATCACGATTCTACTATATAATGTATTATTAACTATTTTGGCTCATGCACTTTATATTTTTATTCGTTTTTTTAGGCTTTTCAAGAGTTCTTAAATTATTGTATTATTTGTGAGTCAAGCTTCTTTCTTGATGATTTTGGGACGGGTTTTAAAATTTGGAGCCAAAGGTAATAAATATTTCTCACTTGAAAAACATATTTAATTGAAAATACGTCTAAGTGTTCAATTTTTGGAAGCTTAATATTTTTGTCCAAGTATGATAAAATATTATTCCTGTTGATGAAGGTCGTCATATTACGTGTGAATGATATATATTTCCTCTTTAAAATCATCTTCTCTTCTCCATTTTGTGATTTTTCTCTCTTTGTTCAAGTTGTGTCATAATAAAATCATTTATGAGAAGAATTTCAAGAAGTCAGAAGCATGGATTGAAAGATTTGCACAATTCGTTAAAGAATATTATTTTTACCTAGGATATATTGCAGAAGGATTCTACTTCTCATCCTAGTGTCAGGGTGTAATAATCTTTGAAGAAGTCTTTAGATCAGGTAATACAGACTGCACTAGTTATGACCGATCTTCCAATTGCTACTCAGAGTGATTTTCATTATAATGATGAATTGGAAACTATACTATCCGTTTGTGACACCCCGGCAAGCAAGCCACGTATAGCCGGGCGTTTCGGGATTGTAGACTGGCCCCACAAATCAACATGAGTCATTCTAGCGCACTTTTGCTCTTACTCACGCACACCAATCCTCAAATTACTCTAGGAAAATCACGTAAATTGTAGAGTTCTTTCAGTAGGGCTCTTGAAAAGAAATGTGCACATTGTTGGCATGAGTAGTTTATTCAATCCAGTTAACCTATATTCAATATCGGATAGTCTGACACTGAATCTTCCACGGGAGTTGGCCTAGCACCGGCCCAACTCCGAGGCATTACACCATTCCTCATGAAGTGCCTCAAGTGGGTATTCTCTTTTTAATGTAGGTGTTGGTTAGGATGATTCTTTTAGGGACATCCCTTCTCGGTAGTTTGACATAGCACGATTTGAATAGAATTTTAGGTCTTTTGACTTTTATGCAAGGAATTTGATTTTTTTTTTTTTTTTACACATCCGATATGTATTCTATTTTGATTCTTTATGTACAAAGCTTTTATCCCCTATTATTTTCCACATGGATGAATATAATTTCTTTAGATATTTGTCATTTATGAATGTCTTTAGTTCATCTTTATCTGGTTTTATCAACTTGTAGGAACCATTTGATGTTGTCACTGAGATAATGTGCAGAACCTGATAATTTTGGGAATATTTTTTCATTTTTACGGTTCTTCCAAATTTAGGGAGTATTTTCCCATTTTTTGATCGTTAGTGTTCTCGGATATATTACTTTCCACACTATATCGCTTTTGAGAAGTATTAAGGTTGGACATGCATGATGAATCCTTTATTTGTATTCTATTTGTTGAGGTGGATGTGGTCAAGTGCTCGTTTGTTGTTGCTTCAAATTTTGAGAAATGGTACAGTGATTCCCAAAGGTAGGACGACATCATCAAGTAAGCTTCTACGGAGTACTATGTAACGTGTCCAGAAGCTGACACACTCGGCGCCTAGGCCACGCCGCACTGAGGCCTTCCTCTGTGCGCAAAACGCCCGGAATATACCATACAGTATAGGAGAATCATGCGGAACATGTATCTGCACCAAGATATAGGTCATTAGTCGACCGTACAGGACAAGGGCTCGCAAATATGAGACGGACTATGGCCGAGAACCTGGGGTAGGAATGTCAGCCCATGACAATACTCCCCCACTTCAAGTCGCAAACGCCCTCGTGCGATGCTACTTAAGTGCACTGACGTTATTTCTTGCACCCTCGGTATGCCTCCGGTGTCACTCCGTCGACCATTTCTTGCATACCCTTTTCTTTGTACTCACCAACAACTAGCGAGGTCTTTTGCCATAATCAACCCAAATGCAACCCACATTTCGCTGCGCATCTCCACACACCATCCGGGAAATCCGTTGTTACAGTTTGTGCGATATTCGCCCGAAGATCGTCCTTAACGTGGTTTTGCCCTCACGAACAAAGGTCAGCCCTCTTGGCCCTTCAGCAACGTCGAGCGTACTCCCTCTCCTTGGGAGCACTCCCCTATTTGGAATGTCCAGTTCCCTTGGGACATGCTCATCCTTGACGTGCTCACAGATATGCTCTCGGAGCAATGTCCACTTCGCCGCTTCGTTCGCCACCAGCGTCAAGGTCCGCTCTGATACTATATGTAACATGTCCGGAAGTTGACACGTCCGGCGCCTAGGCCATGCCCGTGCTGAGGCCCAGACCAACCGTCTCATGTGCGCAACATGCTCGAGATATACCATGCAATATGGAAGAATCATGGGGAACACGTACCTGCACCAAGATATAGGTCATCAGTCAGTCGTACAGGACAGGGGCTCATACACATGGGACGGGCTACAACCATCCCTTGGTTGACTTGGAATTTCGATAAGCTCATAATACTTTTTCTAAAGTACCATGTTATCTTCTCGTGTTGTCCTCAAATGTATTTTTGGGTGATCAACTTCTTCTTCATTACTTCAGTCTACCCATTGGCCTATGA